TAAACTGTGGTCAATGTCATGAGACAAAGTATATGTAAACTGCTATATGGAAAGTGAATTTGCTCTGTAAATCTTCACCCAAATCACAATAATAAATAAATAAATAAATAAATAAATAGATAATAAAAATTATTTTATTAGAACTCGTGATATAACCTTTTTTTTCCCCCCAGGGAGAAGTTGCTGAAGTTACATTTGTAGGTGCAAATCCAAAGAATTCAGCAGAAAACCAGGTAAATATCAATGAATCTTTTTTAAAAATTAAGTCCATGTTTTAGCCTTTCATTTACTTGATGTCTTAGAGAGGTTAACAATATAAAGTTAAAATGTAGCAAATCTGTTTGACTTTTTGTTTTGTAGTTGGGAGGAAATTTCCCATGGTACCTAAATTGCCAATATGGGATCAATTCTGGAAAAAAGTACACAGGAAACATTAAATGGGTTTTCTTTAGGGCTATACACAGAACAATGGTAGCATAGTGCCTAAGGCACTTGATCACTAACCAGAAGGCTGGTGGTTTAAACCCACCAGCCACTCCTTGAAAAGACGGTTGGGCAATCTACTTCTGTAGTGATATCACCTTGGAAACCCAAGGAGGGGTCACTATGAGTCAGGTCCAACTTGATGGCCCGCTGTAACAACAACAACAAAACAATGAATATAGAACTGCCTTCTCTTGGGGAGAAAAAAAAAAACCTCACTGCTGTTGAGTCGATTCGACTCACAGTGATCCCTCCTTGGGTTTCTGAGGTGATATCTCTATAGAAGTAGATTGCCCGATCTTCCTTCCAAGGAGTGGCTGGTGGGTTTGATCTGCCATCCTTCTGGTTATCAGTCAAATACCTTAGGCACTACGCAACCAGAGGTCCTGCCTTCTCTTGAGAAGATGTTAATTTGAACATAATCCCATTTATGTATTCAAAAGTGAAATTCTAGTATATATGATTAAATAGTTCAAGAGTCAAGCAGGTGAAGTGTTCCTTTGGCTCTTTCCTCCCTTTATGGCCCTCTCCGACTCCTCCACCATTGCTGTGTCTGGTCCTATGTCCTCTGGTCATTCCTTTGTGGAATGATCATGGATAGGGGTGGACATCCTACTGGCATGGAGCCCTGGCTTAACATTTTCCTACACTGGCCATTTCCTTATTCTTTACTACTGCCACTAATAGGGCATATATTTATTTTATAGAATGTTCTTGTTACTACATAAGTTATACATGATCACTTCCTAGTTGCAAAAATTCAAACAACAAAGAAGTATATAGAGGAAAAGGTAAGTGGGCATATGAAAGTAAGTTCAAGGTCAGATTTTTTGCTGTGGCTGAGGATTCATTCACTCTATCGATGAGCCATTCTTCCCAGGGTTCACAGTCATGTATAATCCAAAGTCCTTTTCTTTCAAATGCTCCTTCCCATTTCTGTTCATTAAAAATATCATATGGCCACAATATTATAATGTTGTTGTTGTTGTTGTTATGTGCCATCGAGTCAAACCTGACTCATAGCGACCCCTCCTTGGGTTTCCGAGGCAGTATCACTACGGAAGTAGGATTGCCCAACCTTCCTTCCGAGGAGTGGCTGGTGGGTTTGAACCGCCAGCCGTCTGGTTAGCAGGCAAGTGTCTCAGCCACTATGCTACCAGAGCTCCCATAGCAATATAATATTTGGTGATATGACACTGGGGAATAGATGTTCTACTGCTTAGATAGTCTTGGAAGTTAATCTATACCAGAATATTTACATGTTTATAATTTTATCTTTCTGAAGATATCAAAGTATTATATAAAAACTGCAGGTTTAGTATATATCATCTGATATCCTTGAGGTGAAAATATACTATCCTCATTATTGCCACAGAGAAGCAGAAGAAAATGCTTAAAGCACTATAATAAGAACAGATTTAATTTCTAAGAATACTCTGGGATCCAGTTTAAAACAATCTCCAGTATCCTTTATTAGCAGTAGCAAACCTCACACCATCATCATCCTTATCAACATTTATTGAATGCTTACTATGTGTAGGTACTAGGTTAAATGCTTTACATATATTATCACAATAACCCAATTTAATCCTCCCTACTATCTCTATCTTCTGTGGGGAGCTCTGGTAGCGTAGTGCCTAAGGCATTTGACTGCTAACCAGAAGGCTGGCAGTTCAAACCCACCAGCCACTCCTCGGAAGGAAGATGAGGCAATCTACTTCTGTAGTGATACTGCCTTGGAAACCCAAGGAGGGGTCGCTATGAGTCGGGTCCGACTCAACAGCACATAACAACAACTATCCAATAAATTAAGTTTTATTATCTCATTTTTCAGATGTGTAAACTGAGGCCTACAGAGATTAAGTAATTTGTATTAACAAATTATGCATTTGGAAGAGATTAAGGCGGGGAAGTGGCAGAGAAGCATTTCATGTTTTGTCCCTGCTATTCAACTGCCTACACTCATTTCCAATCCTTATGCTAGATACTGTTCACTACATTCCATCCTATCTTCTACTTCATTTAAGGCCTACCCAATATCACTATCCAAAATAGGCAGAAGTGAAGCTATAAGTCACTGTGGTCATGAAAACTTTATTGAATATGATCCATCAATTGAATAATTAGATAAGATTATAAAATGATCCTATGGCCTAGCTATAAGTAAGTGATCTACTAAACAGAAGTTTATTTGAGCACCAATAAATATCAGGAGTCAAGGACTGTGAAGAATAAACATTATTAGACATAAGTCTTGCCATTAAGGGTCCTACAATCTAAAGAATTTTGAGAGAAATTAGTTTTATGGTTATGTATCTTTTTATGTGTCGTATTATTCAGATCTGTGCTTTATCTGAAGCTGAATTCTTAGTCTGGAACAAATTGCTCTATTACAGCATTTTTCCAGTGGGAAAATAAACTCCTCTTATTATATGGTTTCTAAGAGCCCATTATGATGAAATATTGAGACTGCTTTTATCACCCCAGGACAAAGATGATTTATACTCCTTTCAATTCTTCTTTCACTCCAGGAGGTACATTAGCTAATAACTCATTTACCTGGAGGTGGAAAAGTGAGGAAATATTCCCATTTGCCCTCCAAGATCTTGAACTGCCTAGAAAATGTCTGGGAATATAGATCAATAAAGATGTCATGAAAAGATTTAACATGCCTATTTTTAAATCTCAAGTTTATTCCTCAGGCTCTTCCTTGCCCTAATTTCCACAATTTGTTATCTGCTCTAAGATTACACTTCATTCAAATTTCTGAAAAACTCATGGCTTTTTAGCAGGCTGAATAAATTAATGTTCTGAAGTCATTCCAAAAAACGTTACGAGGAACACCTAAATTCTAATACATTTTTTAACAAGTTATTGGTTGGTTAGCATTTGGTAAACAAGGAGAGAAGGAATTTACAGACAGGTTCCTTCTTGTGATGGTGCAGTTCTTGATCAGTTATGTTAAATGTGTCTCAGACCCATCACACCTTCCTCACTGTGGAGAAATATGAGGTCGATTCAGGATCATGGCGGATAGTGCATAATGATGCCTCCTGGGAGACTCAGTGAGTATGATTACTGAATGTTTTATCTTTCAAGCCTTAAAAAAAGTTGGCTAGTAATACAAGGAAGATGGATAAGAAGACTGATTCAATACATGGTATTAATGATATCAAATTCCCAAGGAGCCTTCTGGCCATATTGGCTTGATTTATTAGACTTCCTTTTGATTCTATTTTTCTACAAAACAGCATGGTGTGTGCTTCTGCAAGATTAGATACTAATGAATACCTATTAGTTCTTTTTTTTTTTTTTTTTCTTCATGATCATAGACATTACTCTGAAAGCTGGCTCAACTTCTTGCAAATTGGTTGAAAGACGTGCTGGGTAAGGATGTAGAGATGAGTCTGTAGGGCCTGACATCCTCCTGGGAAAATAGCCTATACCCAACATGTGTTGCGTGTTTATCTGTCACCTATAATTATTTGCTTGAGTTACTGAAGCTCAGAGATTTGAGTATTTAACTCTAATCCAATCAAGTAGAGAGGGAATATGCTGAAAGAGTTTTCTTCAAGAGATATATCTCAGTGTCTTTTGTTATCAAATACCTGAGCTGAATAGATATTTTTAAGATTTGACAATGTGTCTGAAATAAGAAAATGTTTGTTTCCATGTCTATAAACTTCATACCATAGGACAGAGGCATGGAAGTGGATAAAATCATCGACAACTTGTGTCTAATTTAGATGTTTTCCAACTAAGTGATCATTTGTTTATTGGTTTGGTTCATGTGATTAAATGAAAATAGGGCTTTGACCATGTTGTGGTCCATCTGATAGTCATAAATATGGGCATAATTTTTTCCTCTGGTCTTTAGAACTCTAGGGTGTAGGTGATTTTTTTAAAAACAAGTAATACATTTTTATTATAAAACAAAGTTATACAGGTAATAAAAAAATTATTTTCAAAAACCAAAAGTCAGATTAGCAGTCAACCTGAAGGATGTTATGTACAGACATTTGTCTTGTTTAACAGCAGCAATATCATCAAATATTAATTGAGATCACTGGCCCTATCACTGAGAAACGTAGACTGGTGAACACACCCTTTGTGCCCAAAGAATTTGCTCTTAATCTAACTGAGGATATCTGTCAGGTAGCTCATTTTGTCTCATTGCATCTAGAAGAGTATGAGCTCCTTGCCCTGGTCTACAAGGACCAGCATGATCTGAGTCCATCTGTTTCTCTCATCTCAAGCACTCTTCCACAGTTTCCAACGTCTAATCCTCACCTACATTCTTTTCGCTGGCCACACCAAGTTTGCTCCTGCCTCACTTTGCGTTCTCTGTTCCTTCTTCTTGGAATGTTCTTCTTCTAGATCTGTGTGGGGCTCCTTGGTATTATTCAGACCTGAGTTCAAATGCTACCTGTACAGACAAGGTTCTGTCTTATTTTCCTCATTGCACTTATCACTTTAAAATTATTTGCTAGTTTACTTGTTTATTGACCTCTTCCCACCACCACTCCAGGAGAGTATATGTTCAATGAAAGTTTAACCTACAAGTGGTTCCTGACTGATGACATAATTAAATTACAAGGAACTGCACTTATGACAGCCAGGTTTTTTTTTTTTGTACATCTTAGCATTAGTAATATGTGCTACATACAGTGTTGTAGCGTGTAATTTGTGGATGTTATCTTTCTCAGACATTCACTCACAGATGTTCAGTGGTATAATTTACTGTTCAAAACACTATCTTATAAAAGGCTATGGCAAAAATAATGAAAAAGAAAGTTAAAAATAAAGAGGGATTCAACTTATTTCAGAACTGATTTACAGTGGAGTTGTCAAAATGGTACCCCGTCATAAGTCATGGACTACTTGTTTGTCCATCTTGTTCACTATTGTGATCTGAGTGCCCCTAGATTAAAGTCTGCAACATGTGATATCTCTTTCTCTTTCTATAACTACATATAAATCTAGGTGAGAAAAGAAGTGTCAGTTGAGGCACAGTATGAGAATGATTAAAAGGATGATATACAAACAAACAAACAAACAAAAACTTATTGCCATCAAGTAAGATCTGACTCAATGCGACCCCTCTTTGGGTGGTATCACTATGGAAGTAGATGGCCCAATCTTCCTTCCGAGAAGTGGCTGGTGGGTTTGAATGGCCAGCCTTCTGGTTAGCACTCATATGCCTTAGGTCCTATGCCACCAGAGCTTCCAAAGGATGATATAAAAATTCTAAAATAGGAAACATCCTATATTCTGAAAATCAAGTCAATCTTCTTGAAATAGAATTTAGGTAGTTAGAAAGGTAGAAAAAATTTATGCGAGTAGATTTTTTTTTAAAGTTCTCTTCTAGAAAGTAGAGATTTATATTTGTTTTTCTTTTTTGTTCATTGCTGTACTTCCAATGTTAGCATAGTACTTGATCACATAGGCACTTAATGAATATTTATTGAATATAGGGCTATCTAATCACATTTTTTTAAGAGTAAAATTGGAATTTGTTTGTTTTCTACCAACAGTTTTTATTGGCACAAGGGATTACTGGGTGTGAGCAATGCAACAATAGCCTGGCATATTCCAGCCACTGCCCAGCCTGGAATCTACAGAATAAAATACTTTGGACACAATCGGAAGCAGGATTTTCTCAGGCCTGCAGTCATACTTTCGTTTGAAGGCACTTCCTCTGCTTTTGAAGTTGTAACTACTTAGTGAAAAGTGGATAAATCATTAAAAATAACAGGTTTACTCTATATAAATTATAAAACTGATTTCATATGAATGTAAACTACCATGTTAACTGCTGTAATTGTCCCTATTTGGGGACGAACAGATAGTTTACTATTCATGGGACAGAGGTAGGAGTGTATATCCCATTAATCTTGCTCTAAAGCTATGTACCTTAAGGCTTTGTGGCTGTTTACAGGGACAATTCCCTTCAATATGAAACTTCTGAAAGGTTAGAGTGGCTAAATATGTGTGAACGATGTTTAACTTATTTCTGGGATTATTGAATGCTAGCTCTGGAAAAGTTTATAGAAATCATTTTACAAATGGGAACATTGAGTTTTTTTTTGTATTCAAGATTAGCCAAAGGTTCAGGACTGTTCCTCTCAATCACCTTTTAAAAACAGTATTTAAAAATTGATCATCAATGTATGAGCCCAAATAGAGATGTGAAAAATTCACATGCCAGCTTTTCTACATTCATATAAGCTTAGACTTTCAAAGCAATCATTGTGAAACTGACAAGCCCAGTACAGAGGTGTTATTGATGTTCAAATAATTTCTGCAATTGCCATTAGAGTTCAATGAAGGAAAGTCAGACTTGTATTATTTTGATCATGCCTTGTGTTTCCTTAAGTGTCCTTACCTCATCTTGATTGTGTCTCTTACTCCCAACACTTGTTCTAAATGATTGTTTGTTTGCTGCTTTTATTCATCAAATCCAACCCCCCCCCCCAAAAACAAAACAAAAAACCCACAATGCTTTGTCATTAATGTAGGTATTAAAACAAAAGAGTTTCTGGCTGGGAAGGCAGTCCACAAAGGGAAGGCTCTAAATTAGGTCATTTGTTCTTTTATTAGTCATTCACTCATTAACCCATTCAGTTATGGACTATTTATTAAGACTTACTCACAGGCCCAGCATTGTAATGGTGCCTGGACCTTGACAAGCAATTATGTCATAGGTGGGATGAATGTAAGCATCTAAAGATGCTTTTGACTGAGAAAATATTCAATTTGAAATGCAAATTCTGGAAGGGCATTTAAAAGTCAATAATCTATCATATCTTGTATATCATCTATGTCCAATATTCCAGTTTTTTGGGAAAGAGGCTTTAATTTGGAAAATGCTGTTCTGAAAGTTAATTTAAGGCATGGTGAAACACCCAGCCTAATGTTCCAAAGAATAAAATATGACACTCTAACATTGATTGTCTGAAAGCACTAATTGCATTTAAAATGATCCAATTTAACTAGTAGCTCCCATGTTATCCAACTTATACTTCCATATAAGTGCAAAATATTTAACAGTTTAGAGAAAATTAACCTTTATGTCAACAATAAGCTTTGAAGTTTAAAAAATAATAATGATATTCATAATTATAATAATAACAATCATTTATGTAAGGCTTAACTTCTTACACATTCTTTACCTCATTAGAATGAGTCTGGAACACTCTTTGATGAATCAGTACTTAACAGACTATTTAAATGGAAGTAACTGCTGGACAGTTAAATAATCAGGATTTCAGAGGATATGTTTCCTAAAGAAACCACAGTATTTTGTGTAGAGTTTCAGGAGTCTGAAAAAGCAAGTGATTCTGAAAGTAGTTGGCCCCAGACAGATAAATTATATCAGATGCTATGCTATGGCTATAAAAAATATTTCTCATTACACAGAAGAATGTCTGAATTATTTCCCACAACCTCCGTTCTCCCACTAAGGCTTTCCTCAGTTTTTCTGTGATTCCCTATTGCTCCCTGATAACTGTGATAAGACTGCTGCTGAGAGTGACTCACTGGAGCTAAACCATGTGAAGAAAACTCCTGAAAATTGGTGGGGAACATGGAAAATAAGGTTTGAGTTAGTGGAAAAATAATTTTGGAGATTTTGTTTCTCATTTCCAACTGTCTGTGTTTTATTTGTTGTATTCTGCCTTTTTTTTTTTTTAAGGATGTTCTTACTTTGTCAAAAAGCACTGTATGATCCTTCTAGGTCTATGTTCTTTGAGTATCATAAAAAATTACCAATATTTAAAAGAATATTTAATAATAAATTAAGAATTATATTTGGGAATGTATTTTCTAATGAGATATATTGTTGACAAATGGATACTATATATGTGTATGTGTGTATATATGTATTTTTTCTAAGATAAGGAACTAAATTTGGTAGATTCCATGTAAATCAGGCAGGGACAGAGAAAGAAATGACCTTGTAGCTAACTGTCAAACATAAGGGAACCACTTCTTTACCAGTTCTTTCCTACTCTCTGAAGATCTGCTGGCAAAATGCATGTGAATGTTGTTCTTTACTACTAAACCAAAAAAAAAAAAAAAAAAAACCAAACTCACTGCCATCAACAGATTCAACTCATAGTGACCCCTACCTTGGGTTTTTGAGGCAGTATCACCATACAAGTAGTTTGCCCAATCTTCCTTCTGAGGAATGGCTGGTGGGTTTGAACCACCAGCCTTCTGGTTGTCACACAGTCACACAGACACACTATGTGACACAATCACCTTTAGCTGCAAGGGAGTCTGGGAAAGAGATTATTTGGCATTATCTGCCTCTAGAAAGGAAAACAAATTTTATTAACAAGAGAAAAGAGATGGCAGAAGTGGTTGTTATGTATGTGTGTTAGTCAAGATGGGTTATTTTTGCTGCAAAAATAGAGATACATATCTTGATCTCTCCACATGCCCAGTGGGGTCAACTGGAGGATCTGTTCCACATCTTTTCACTCAGGGACTCAGGCAACAGAAGCTTCCATTCCGATGGAGGTAGGAGACATACGCTTCCATGACACGTGGCCCTAAACTTTGCCTTCATAAATAGCAATTTGGTTTTATATCTTACAGCTTTTCTTTCCTTGAGATTGTTCAGCTACAGCAGAAATGTGCTTGAATGTAATAATAAAACATATCCCTTATAAGTAAGGAAAATGATGTTAGTTCCCAGAAAATAACCAGCTTCCTATAGAGAAAAGTACATAATGAGTATCTCCCTTTTGTCTTTATGGGCTGCAACCTTGTCTACTGGAATTGAATTTATTAAAAAGAGCCTTTACTTCTCTTCATTTCATGTTTTCAAATCTACTAATTGCCTTTTGCTTTTTCATACTTATTGTGAGTTGTGGAACCCCTTTGCAGTAAAAAGTTTGGTCTTTGGTCCTGGTTCCTGAAAGCATGGCCACACTTGAGGCCAATGAGTGGGAGCTGACCTCACCAAGCAGGTCATCTGGGGGTTTGATGCTGATTAAGCCTCAAAAGGCCTCAAGGTGAGACCAATGAAAGTCTGAGAAGATGGTGATTCACTGGAGCTTCCAGGTTGAACCCCAGTTGGAGAGAGATGAGTAAACATAATAAGCTCAGTTCCTTAAGAACTGAATGGAATGAAAAGCCAATTGGCACATTCTTTCCTGCTATTCTTCTAGAAACAGGTGATAATGTGTTAATGTGTCTCAGAAGACAACTTGAAAATTAACTTTGGCCTGGGTGCATGCGTGTTGGAGCAGACAGGACCGAAGTTGCTGGGAACTGACATTCTCCCCTCTGCCTAAGACCTGATCAGCTGATGACAGGAAGCCGGTGTGACTCATCTGGTGTGCAAGCACACTGCATTAAAAAAAAACTATCCCTGTAAACTGAGGCGAAGGAAATTTTAGCCAATCGTCAACTATCTCATGCCCAAATTCCTGAAATTTTTATGAATATGCATAACTCTCTTTCCTGAAACTTACAAAAACTAACTCTATTTAGATTTGGGGAGTCGGATTTGGGTAAAAAGACCCCTGTCTCCTTGCATTGCTGCTTTGCAATAAATAATTTTCTCTCCTCTTAATCACTTGGTGTGTAAACTGTTTTGGCCTGACTGAGCACTGGGCAGGGACCCGCATTTGGTCCTATTTCAGAAGTAGATTGCCCAACCTTCCTTCTGAAGAGTGGCTGGTGGGTTTGAATTACCAGCCTTCTGGTTAGCAGTCAAATGCCTTAGGCAATATGCTACCAGGGCTCCCTATGAAAGAGGGAAGGGTGTCCAATAAAGACCTCCCTCTCTTTCACTAGCTGGAGTCCAGAGTTCTAGGCTATACCTTATAAATACAGGAAGTCCTTGAGTTATAAGTCTGAATTACCATTAACAGACAACTCCTACTTGCTCTTTAATGTTACATAAATTTGCCATCACTTTGAAACATTTGAACAAACCTGTACTTGCAACAAATTCTTCATCACAATCACCTTCACTTGCTACACATGCAGTTTTTAAAATACTGATAGGGCTTTGAGCCTTTCCCTGCACTAAATTAAAGTTAAATAAGAACCATATGCACCTATTTCCACTCACCTGCAAAGTCTACCCAAAGACTTAAAGACACAGGAACAGGATCTGATGGTACACCTGGGACTGCCTGTACTACAAAACTGAATCATATGTAAACTTCAAAGTATATTAGCCTGTATAATACCAAATAATGAGACCTGGCCTCTGTGTATTTCTGTTCTGGCTGTTCTTTAGCAGAATGGTTGGGGTTTTGGCTCAACACCAGCCAGAGGACAGGAGATTTACCACTCTACTGCTGAGACCCAGGTATCTGGAAGCATCACCTTGACTATATCCCATCTGTTATTGTAGCTTTTCTATTCAATATAGTAGATTCACCTTTTTCTCAAGACCAAAATACTAAAACCAAACCCACTGCAGTCAAGTCAATTTTGACTCATAGAGACTCTATAGAACAGAATAGAACTGCCCCATAGTGTTTTCAAGGTTTTAAATCTATGAAAGCAGACTGCCACAGCTTTCTCCATGGAATGGCTGATGGGATCAAACTGCTGACCTTTCAGTTAGCAGCTGAGTGCTTGACCACTGTGCCACCAAGGCTCCTTTTCCCTATGACTAGAATGGAAGCAGCAGTCAGGACATCAAATGACATATAGCACTGGGCCAATCGGCTGCAAAGGACCTCTTTCAAGTGCTGAAG